CTACGGAGACTGCCTGGGTCCAGCTGAGACATAAATCCGTAATCCGTACCCACCAGGTTAACGGGATAATAGGTGCCACGTATGTTTCATGCACACATGTATGTAATCTCTGTCAGAGTCACAGTTTAACATTGCAGGGCTTTACACTTTAAGTTGTATCACTAATGCTAGTGCTGTAAAAACTTTAGTAGCACAAGAAAAACAATTAGCACCACAAGTAGGGAACGGACTGCAAAACTGTGCGCACAGATTGCTGAACCGTGGGTATGGACTGCAAAGCCGTGTACACGAATTGCTGAACTGTGGGAACGGATTATGAATTTATTTCTCACCTGAACCCAGACGGGTTCCGTACTGTGGCAATGAATTCATTGGGAAAATATATAAATACATATAATTCATGCTTTGTATAAATGTGCTATTTTGGCTGCATCCTCCATAATAACTATTCTGTTATCCAACCAAGAGTGAGAAATGTTTGTTTGTGGGCATTAATTGCAGTACCGTGGTGTGTCTTTGATCAGTGTAGAGTGTGCCTTTGTGTTTGTCCTTATTTCTGTGGCTGTGCTCATGTGCATCTTAAAATATTGACACCTGTCCGGCACAGAAAATGAGTGTTTGTCTGTGGCGCTAAACCATGTTTCGAAGCTTGAACTACTGATACTCCTCTGAGTTACTCACATGAATATTTATCTGTTAACAGGAGTAACCTTTTCTCTTGCTTGTGAATTCCAGGCACCGTGACCTTTTTTTGACTGTGTTTAATTTTTTTTTTATTGAACTCAGGAATCAGTAATGTTATGAATCAGTCAGGGTAAATAATTACTTTCTGTTCTAATGACTTAATCATACATCATTAAGGTCCTTGTGAAATCTTTTTATTTTTCATGAAAGGCTGGCATACCAATGTGAAACTGACATTCTTTAATAGACTCCTGTACCTGTGTTCTGTAGGCATTGTAATTATTGAGACAGCTCTTAATTATTTGTGGCACCTAAATTAAAATCAAGCGTTGATTATGCACAGTGTAATATCAGCTTTAGAGACCTGTTTTTCATTCTGACACAATTATCAAGCTGTTCGAAGTATATAGAGGCTTGTCATAACTGACGCGAGAAACACATTTCTGATCCTTGAGTTACGCATGTCATCTGTTTTGTTGTGACTTAGGACTGTGGACACTGAAGACGAGTTGGGTGTTTAGTCATTTTGTTCTTTGTAGTTTAATAGTTCTTCATGTGAAACAAAACATACAGGATGAAGTATTTAATTATAGGGCAAAGGAGCTGCGGAATTTTATTAACCCACATACAGATATATATTGTTTAATCAGCTTTGGGTGACAATGCAGGCAAAAGTGAAATAATGACACAATGTTCAAAATGCGATATAAATACCAATATTGAGCATGTAAGAGTTGAAGGATAAAAATACAAGTAGAAAAATAAATCACACACAGATCTTCTAATTTCTGTTTGACGGGGGCTAGCTGACACAGCGAACGCAAATAGCTTCACTGTTGAAGTGTTTTTGTTTTGTATCAAACAGTTGGAAGTGCTGGTGTAAGTCAAATCACAGGCAATTAAGGGACATTCTGAAGGACCCAAAGCGGCCCTCAGGTGAACAGACTGTGTCGGCGAACTTACAGCAGAAGAGGAGAAACTCCTGTCTGGATGCTCTGGGGGCCTATGCACTGGGGGCCCTATGCACTGGGGAGACTTGGCCTCCTTGTGGCAGTGAATGCTGGCAGCTCATGTGAAGAAAATAAACACATTCTCCTTTCTTTTAAAATCCACAGAGTTCAACTTTTGTGGATCGTGCTGCATTCGGAGCTTTAGCATGACTGAGCAGCGATGTGTGTTACAGCCAGAAAGCACTAGCACTCAAAAAATGAATTAAGGGATAAGTCTGTGTGCACATTATGGGATGGTTGTCACTGTTATCGTTAATCAGCATTATACAAATATAATCTTTAAAGTAGTTGATTCAATAGCAGGTGAATATGTAACCAACATGAAAACATGACATAACAATACAGAACTGATGTACAAAATAACAGAGCCATTTGATGTTATTGATGGTGTGCTACAATGTTTTTCGTACTCACTATTATACATTAAAGACCCAATAGCAATGTTTCCAGTCCCTGTATCTATAGAAGGAAAACGTTTTATAGGGACAGGTATATTATACACTCTTCCTCTTTGTTCTCTTTTGCTGCATAGTTGATTTAAGCCCAACTGCAGAAGGGAGGGTATCTTAAAGGGATACACTTGCGTCCCAAAAGCCTTGTTGTATCATACCAAACAATATGTTAACATACCCATAAATAACTGATCAAGGTTATTCCATGTAGAGGTTTAATGTCTCTGGTCTGGGTTCAGTTTGATATGCTGAAGCTCATAGTGGTCCAGCATATACACATTTAATATGGTGTCTATGAATGGAGGTGCTGGTGATTGTATGGGGCTGTGACTGTCCTTGGAAGTGTTTTAGCAAAGCCAAAGATTAGCAGTCCATTGTGATGTGTTTTCATGTCAGTGTTTAAGTGCTCCGTCATGGTTTTGAATCTGCAGACTGTTAATTAGCGTTTGCTTTCGATGAGGTGATGGATCACTTGTTATATTTCACTAAATCTCTACTGTATCATGACGGCGGCTTAGTGGGCTGCTCTGTGGCCTCACACTTTCTGGGTTGTGACTTCCCCCGTGTGTGTGTGTGTGTGTGTGTGGTCCAGATATACCTTTATCTGTGGGGACAAACGGTCCCCACAATGTCATGAATCCCTGTTTTTTTACCGTAAGGGGACAACTTTCCTAATCCCCATAAGGGAAAACTCTTATTTTCTAAAAATGTGTGACTGCAATTGAAAAACTAAAAATGCAAAAACTCTTGTATTTTGTTTGGTTACGTATAGTTATTGTTAGGGCAGGGTAGGGGTTAAGGGTGTCATAGTTAGCATTATCATTTTTCCCATAGAAGTCAATGAGCAGTCCCCACAAAGATATGCTTACTGGTCTGTGTGTGTGTGTGTGTGTGTGTGTGACTTGCATGTTCTTCCCATGTATCTGTGGGTGTCTTCCTGCTGTCCCAAGCCCTGCAGTTACTGACCTCTCTAAATCGGTCATAGTATGTGAGTGCCCTGCCATGAACTGGCATCTCATCTGGGTTATATCTCAGCATCGTGCTGCATGGGATAGGTTTGAGGCCCGCTGTGACCCTCACCAGGACATGCAGTTAGAAGATGGATAGATGTATTGAATTTCTGTTAACAAACAGTGTGATATGTTTTTGTAAGCAGTCTAGAAAGTTAGAGAATGGATGGATGAATGGAAAGGTGGCTTAGCAGGTAGCTGCAGCATTGGTGGTGCTTTATACCTGCAGATCTATGGGTTTCAGACAGAAGTCTGAATGTTCTCCCCGTTTTTCTCTGACAGTCCAAAGTGCCATGTCACTCTGGAGACTCTAAATCACCCTTATTGTATGAACATCCTATAACAGACCGGTGACCAGTCCAGGATGTACCTGTTTATGTCTTTTGTTGATCAAAACTGACCTTAAGCATTTAGTGAAGATGAATGGATGGAAAGCCCATTTTTCTGCTGATGTAATGAATTTCATGAAATTCCTGATTATTATTGACATCTACATTGAAAAGTAAACAAAAGAAGGGCTACTGGATGGATGCATCTTAACCTTCAAGTAACTTGTGTAACCCACCAGGAAATTGAATTCCTTTGAATTTCCTTATGATGGTCCTGTTAGGTACCATTAGGAGATGGGCTGCCTGCAGAAGGGTCCTTAATATTTCACGATAACGGCACGACATGGGAAGATATGCAGCCCGGTTATGACATTAGCAGCACACTGGCGTCTTCCCTGTTCCACGGCTTTTGGCGACTTCGGAGAACCAGAGGGAGTTCACCGGAGGTCTCTGTGCACTGATGGAGTTCACTGGACGTGCCTGTGCAGTGACGGAGTTCACTGGACGTGTCAGTGCAGTGACTCCCTCGAATCCTTGTTTAGCCGTATCCATGAGCTGCGTACAGACTGCAGTGTGGCACGCAAGATGATGAACAGCATCGCTATGTCATAGGAACATCCTGTAACAGCTTATATGGAAAGGTGGTGATGGAGACCTTACAGCTGGAGCTCGGGGGGGGGGGGCTGCCCGGCTTATGTGGCATGTGGCTTCACATCCTGTGTGGCTTCCAGCTCGCAGAGTTGGCCGTCGGTTGTGCTGGAATGCGATAGCATATACATTTTTGGTGCAGTGCAGTAATGCAGTGCTGCGACGTCGCTGTTCTCAGTGACAACGTGCAGTTCAGCGTTCCCGAATAGTGGAACAATAGTGGCTCATTGTGATTAAAGCGAAAATGATTCGCTCCGCAGTCCCCCATTCATCCATTAACGCTGACGACTTCATTTCGTTGGTCCCCTTCCATTTTTTTTTGTCCCAAACGTGCGCAGCTTTGTCAACACTTTCTGCTGACCTTTGGAGATCTCACTTCCCTTCCCTTCTCCTTTCCCCTCACGTCGAATGTACAGCTTACCCCGTCCACACGTCCTCGCTCCAGTGGAAAATCCATTCTCTTCGAGATAATGGCTGCGCGGCAATTAACGGCACACTGGGTATTTCCGAGAAAGCTAATTGGGGGGGTTCTTTTTTCTATCTATATTTTCACATTTAATGTAATTCCGAAGAGGTGTTCAGTGGACTTCTGGGCCTGGAACTGTAAGCAATCATTGGGTCTGGAATAACCAACACTTCACCTCAAGATATTATTAATAAAAACCTGTAGCCTGCATTGGTTGTAAATGCATTATCATTGGTTTCACTGTTTGCAGAATGCAGTGAGCAGTGAGGGTAGCTTCAGGCGTGTACTTCACACCTACTTTAGCAGATCCGTGGCCTGGCAAGGCCTGGTATGTCAGTCAGTGTGAGAGACATTTTAGGGACTTTAATGACATAGTGTTTTCCTATGTATTTATAGAATGATCCACTTGTGAATGGAAGGTGGAGTCGTGCCGTGTGGCATTTTAGAGAACAAGCGCAGTGTCATAGTCAAAGTCAGGTTCCGCCAAATAGAAAATGGACACAAAGAGCTTGGTGAAGGTTATAGATCGGCGAATGCGTGGCGTCTTGAAAACTGAAGATAGGGGTGAGTGGAGCATTGATCTGACCTGTGATGCACACAACGTCCAGTGACTCTGTATCCTGGCAATGATGAATTACGATGACAGTGTCCTATAACAAAATTACAATAACAGAGTTGAATAACAATATACTTCTAATTTCCATAAATAGTGTTGCCTTGATATAAAATCATTCTTATTTTGAGCATACTTACAGTATACTTACAGTTGTCTATAGTGATTCATTTGTAAATTCCAGCAAGAATGTCAATTCCTTAATTTAATAGTTTTTTATTTGTCATAATTGATACTCCACAGATCCTTCGTTGAGAGGAGGAAAATCTAATTAGGCTTCGATGTCAGTGTTGCGGCATTTTGTTCAATACCTTGTGTGTATTGTCCTGACTCATTTTGCCCATAATAAATTGGCTGAGCTTGTTGCAGTGGTCTCACGGATGCTGAGCTTGTTGCAGTGGTCTCACGGATGCTGAGCTTGTTGCAGTGGTCACACGGATGCTAAGCTTGTTGCAGTGGTCACACGGATGCTGAGCTTGTTGCAGTGGTCGGCCCTTACATGGCCTATCCTGTTTGATATGTGTCAGCATGTTCACTGGTTGTGCACCACGCAAAAGTTTGCATGGCAGCTGATTTGTTTATTATACCATGTGTTTAAAAGTTATGAACCCAAACACATTGTTCTAGCTGTATGAATAGGTCATTAGTTGCCACAGGAGAGCTAGTGCTGGTTATTGCTTTTAAATCAGCACACGGTTAATTGTCAAGATTCTTTGTAGATATGTTATAAATATGACTAGAAATGTTTCTCATTTTCTCTTCTCATTTGAACTTTTAAAATGATAAATTGTTATATTTCCAAGAGCATGCAAGAGTCCCTAAATACTTTGATGTTTATTAACTGGTGATTAGTCAGGCACTGAAGTGGCTGGATAGCAGGGGAAGTGACCTGTGTGGGCAGGTGTTCAGGCACTGAAGTGGTTAGATTGCATGGGAAGTGACCTGTGTGGGCAGGTGTTCAGGCACTGAAGTGGCTGGATAGCAGGGGAAGTGACCTGTGCGGGCAGGTATTCAGGCACTGAAGTGGCTGGATAGCAGGGGAAGTGACCTGTGCGGGCAGGTATTCAGGCA